CCCTCCAAATTAAGCAGAAAGTTATATTGTATAAATGTTGCTAATTTCGAAGATTGTATTTTTAAAGTAAAGAAAATGTGACTCGTTCTTTGGTGTACTATGTATATTAATATTTGGTTTGTGTTCCGTGTATGCAGGTTTAATTCGATCGATTGATATACTCTTGGATTCTCCATTTATAAGTATTTTAAAAAGCTTCAAATTCTTCTCAATAACTTCAAAAGGTCCCTCATAAGGGCAGCTTAAACCAGGTTTTTTATTCATAATTTTAACAAAAACCTGTTTACATGTTCTTAAACTGCTTGGCATAAAACATTTTTCCGAAGTAACATGATGTGATAAATTTGAACGAGAGTTTTTAAAATAACTTTTTAATTTAGTTAAGAAGTTTGTGTTATTGAAATCCTTCTGAGTATCAGTAACAAGTTCACCTGGTAATCGTAAATTTTGACCGTAAACCATTTCCGAAGGAGTTGCCCCTAAATCTTCTTTAAAACAAGAACGCAAACCTAATAAAATTATCGGTAGTTCTTCTGACCAATTGTTAGATGTACCACGAGCAACAATTGAAGCTTTCAATTGCCGATGGAACCGTTCTATCATTCCATTTGCCTGAGGATGATATGCGGAAGTTGTAATTAGCTCACTTCCAATATACTGCGCCAGCTCACGGAAGATATTTGAAGTAAACTGAACTCCTTGGTCACTTGTTATATGAGTTGGTACCCCAAAACGTGGAATATATTGCTGAATAAATTTTTGAACAGTAGATTTTGCTGCAGCTTCCCTTAAAGGATAAGCTTCAGGCCAACGCGTATTTCTATCAATGATTGTTAAGATATATCTAAATCCATTTGACATTGGTAACGGACCTACAATATCTGTATGTATATGTTCAAATCTGCCCTTAGGAATTTCTATTTTTGAAACTGGAGACTTAACATGTCTAAAAACTTTTGACTTTTGACAATCAATACATATTTTTGCCCATTCATTTACCTCTTTCCTCATAAAAGGCCAGAAATATTTAGAAGTTAACAACCGCCGCGAAGCCCTGATACCTGGATGACTTATACTATGTAATTTATCAAATACTTCTCACCGTAAACTATTTGGTATGTAAGGCCTAGTAGTCCCATTGTTTTCTTCACAGTAAATGTTAAAATTCAAAAATGGTATTTTAACTTCCACTATCTTATAGGGACACGGAGAATTTTGAATAAGACTTTTCAATTCATCGTATTTCATTTGTTCAGAATAAAATTTTTCAAAATTATCTGTTGAGGTATGCTCGATTCGTAATTCAATTGAAAATCAACCAATATCTTCAAAGCAGTCCCGATTTCGTAGCCCAAATCGTTCAAGAGATAGATCGACTTCACGTGATTGGCTATGCCGCTTTCACTATCAGTTTGGAAGTAGGGCGCGAAAATGTGAACAACCATGTTCATATAACNATTTCATTTGTTCAGAATAAAATTTTTCAAAATTATCTGTTGAGGTATGCTCGATTCGTAATTCAATTGAAAATCAACCAATATCTTCAAAGCAGTCCCGATTTCGTAGCCCAAATCGTTCAAGAGATAGATCGACTTCACGTGATTGGCTATGCCGCTTTCACTATCAGTTTGGAAGTAGGGCGCGAAAATGTGAACAACCATGTTCATATAACAAAAAGGGAAACTAAAGTTACCCATCATTTTGGCGACAAATGATGGGTCAAACAATTTTTGTGCTCGTCGCTTTTTCGTTTACGATAAAGGAAACAATTTAAATTTTTTAATAGACAGTGGTGCGGAGATATCGGTTTTACCATCTTCAAAATTTAGGCAATTCCAGAGACCTTCAGACTTGTTTTTAACTGCGGCTAATGGAAGTAGTATTAAGACTTTTGGCAAAAAATTACTTAATGTAAAGTTAAACATAAGAGAATTCCCATTTGTGTTTGTAATAGCTGATATCACAAAACCAATTATAGGAGCAGATTTCTTATCAAAGTTTGGACTTTTAGTTGATTTGAAGAATAAACGTCTAGTCGACCCTTTAACGAATATTTCAGTTAACGTGATTTCTAATTACGTGAACGTTTCATTACCAAAATTATTATTAATAGATGACAAATACACGAAGTTACTCAGGTCATTTCCCTCTTTAATATCAGAACCTGATTACACTAAGCCAGTTAAACATTCAACTGTAAAATAGAATTACAATTAATTTAAATAAATATGTCTTTGAATGAATGAATATTTGAATGTTGAATCAATAATAATTTTTCAGCAATGAAATTTCTCTGAATGTAACATCATCAACAGAAACAAAAACTATTTCTGAACAAGTATCAAAGACTTAAAGTGTGTGTACATATATATTTGCATCAACTTATGACACTTGTGAGGACTAAATGTTCAACAAGAAATTTAGCCCACACAAGCAATACGACACCGCACACCGATCTTTCCGATCTTTCCAACTTCTTCTCCGCAAGGAACCTCCAAATCTCCGCCGCAAAATCCAGCGCCACACTTTTTACGACCTGGACCAAGGAGGTGGGGCTAGAACTGGACGTCTTCGTCGATGGCGCCAAAATACCGACGACCAACCACCCTAAAATCCTAGGAGTGACGTTCGATAGCCTCTTCTCCTTCTCCGCGCACGCCACAGCCACATGCAACAAACTGCGAGCCAGGAACAAAGTCCTAAAATCGCTAGCCGGCAGCACCTGGGGAGCCAACAAAGAAACCCTGCTCGCGACCTACAAGGCAATCGGCCGGTCAGTGGCTAACTACGCGGCACCAGTGTGGACGGCGGGGACAAGCGACACCCGATGGAGGAACCTCCAAACCTGCCAGAATGCAGCTCTACGTACGGCTACAGGTTGTCATCTCATGTCGTCCGAGCATCACCTACATGAAGAAAGCCAGATGCTGGCGGTGAAAGAGCACAACACCATGCTGTCGAAGCAATACCTCGTGGGCTGTCACCGAGGGAATCACCCCAACAATGCCTTGCTTCGTAACGAACCGCCCCCACGACACGTGAGACGACACCTGCATGACTGGAAAGCGGACATTGAGCCGTACGTAGACCATCCATTCGACGCAGCAACATACAGAGCGGCGCTCAACAGCCTACACAGCGATGCGGTCAGAACGAGCCTCAGTACGCGTAATGACAA